GTCTGTCCGTCTGTCCGTCTGTCCGTCTGTCCGTCTGTCCGTCTGTCTGTCTGTTTGTATGCAATCTAGTCTCTCAGTTTTCGAGGTATCCGGATGAAATTTGGTAGGTGGGTGTATTTTTATAATGTATTAATCATTTGTCGGAACCGGAAGAATCGGACCACTATAACATATAGCTCCCATACAACTGATTGTTCAGATATAAGATTTTTCATTATAACTTCGCCATTTATGCAGCTACGAACATGAAATTTTGCAATACTTGCACCCATTATCAACAGAATACTTATAGTGAAAATTACAAAGATCGGGTCACTATAACCTATAGCTCCCATACAACGGATTGTTCAGATATAAAATTTTGCGTTATAACTCCTCCATTTATATAGCTAGGAACATGAAATTCCGCACTGTTTTCAATAATTATCTACAGAAAACTTACCGCGAAAATTAAAAAGATCGGGTAACTATAACCTATAGCTCCCATACAACTGATTGTTCAGATATGAGATTTTTCGTTATAATTCATCCATTTATGTAGCTAGGACCATGAAATTTCGCGCTGTTTTCACTCATTATCAACAGAAGACTTACCTCGAAAATAATAAAGATCGGGTCACTATAACCTGCAGCCCCCATACAACTGATTGTTCAGATATGAGGTCTTTTATCATAACTCCTCCATTTATGCAGCTACGAACATGAAATTTCGCACCATTTTCACTCATTATTAACAGAATACTTACAGTGAAAATAACAAGGATCGGATGACTACAACATATATCTTCCATACATCTGATTGTTCAGATATGGGATTTTACTGTAAAACTTCTTTATTTGAATAGCTAAAAGCGATAAATTTCGTAAGATATTTTATAAATAATAATACAAAGTCTACTGTGAAAATCGTCAAAATCTATGCTGTATAAGCTTTATCTCCTATAGCACTGATTGTTCAGATACCAGTTTTTGCGATATATCTTCTTTATGTAGGAAACTAAACCCAATAAATTGTGTTACCGGTTTACATACCGATCACATAGCAGTGAAAATCACTTAGATTGGTGCTAATATAAGGTATATCTTCAATACCTCTGATTGTTCAGATGCGATTTTTTATATAGGTATGGAACTCCTCTATCGATGTATGCAGATGTATTCAAAAGCAGTAATCTGTCAAAGTAAAATTTGTAGATGTTCATGAAAGGTATGAAGCCTTCGGCATAGCCGAAGACAGCGCTGCTCTTACTTGTTTCTATAAGTATTTGATGTGCGATATACCTATAAATGGTATACAGTTGTAAAAGTAAGCCTACAAACTTCTCTATCATGTCAAACTAAAAAAGTATATATAATTTTTTCTTAAATGACACCCTGATACCCAGACAAATGAACTTAACTTTCAAAGTTTAAGAGATATAACAAATGTTCTACATACATATACAACTGTAGGCTTTATTAAACCCTTTACAGCGATGTATTCTTTTTGGAAATCGGACATCAAAATCGATTTACTTTAATTTAATTTAATCGATTTAGCTGTTTTAATAGGTTGCCGAAACAAAAATTGCTTTCCTGAAATACTTTCCTACTTTTCGGCCCATTCATAGTGATACGGTCTAATGTACATACATACATATATACAAGTATGAAAGTAAAAATTTCCATTAAAGATGTTAGAAAAAATCACGACAGCCAGCGCTTTTATATTTCCACGCTTGTCACTCTTTCACTCAGCAACGCTAATGCTTCTTTGCATCTTTTTTTACAAATTTCGAAATCATCTTTGCCTACTGGTGGCGTAGCAACGGGATATCAACCACGCAAGTTAAAGCAGCAGCTGTGCCAACAACAAAGATGACCGGCATGAGCAGTCATTGGGGGGCGTGTAGGGTCAACATTATTAGCAATTTTGTAACGACTAGGCGCGTACAGCTCAATTGCAAGCGAAATTTTGATAGCAAAACCGGTGGCGTTAGAATGAAAATCGCTGAGCATTAAACAGTAAATGAGCCACGCCAAGCGTGTACTCTACTGGTCTATGGTCATTATATTTTCGATTACAAATAAATATTAAGAAACAAAGCTTTGAGATCGTGCCAAACGTATTTCAGTTTATATTTAAATTTATGGAAGTAAGCATCGGAGTTTTCGTATAAAAAATAAAACCGCATTAACCACTCACAGCAAGGGCAGGGTTTATGTTGTTTATTTGAGAGTTTTGCAATTTTTTTTATTTTTTTTTTGGATTTCGAATATATCAGAAATTTACCTATTTTCAAGTACTTGTATGGATTATTGATATTATTGTTGCTCAAATTCGAGAAAATTCTGTGTTTACCCACAGAAACTGCACACAGTAACTGCATAAATCGATAAAAAGTGTTAAGAAATAAATTCAAAGCATACGAAATGTGTCACACAAAAATACAATAACGCCTGGTGATTTAAAACATGTCAAAATATAAAATAAAATAAATGATTTGGACCACTAATTCTTGGTGCTGTCACCGACTGCGAGTAGGTGACTCTATTTTGTATCTCACTTCAACAAACAAAAAGTCGCCGCTTCCGTCATTTGACTGACTGATGACTTCGGCGCACTTAATTTTCATTCAAGAAAGAATAGAGTTCCATTTGATGGGTATTTGGGTACATTCAGTTACGAGCTATTTGTGCAGCCGCTGCTTGTTGCTGAAATTCGTTGAGTATTCGGCTGTGTGGTAGATCCGTCTCAACGCGGCTGCCCACTACATCGGTGGCCGAGGCCGGCTGGTGTTCCTGATCGAAAAAGATGTCAATAATGATGCGCACGCCTGGAATGAGTTTGCAATATACACAAAATTAGCACAATAACTAAATGCTGATTGTTTGCGATAGACAAATAGTTAGCTTAAATGGTCAAAAAAGGTTTGAAACTTTTCTGGACATAAACATTCAAATACTTAAGTACTCGTATGTATTAGAGGTCTGCATGCAGAAAATTAAAACTTCGCGTAACTCGGCGAGGTTACCCGGCGACCCTCTCTTTCCTCAAATCTGTGTTTCGGGACTATTGCTTAGGTTTGCACGTGAAATTTTATTTTGAATTGATGGTTTTAAACGAATGTTAATGGTTATCTTTTTGATAATAGCTTAAAGGAATTTCTACCCTGTCAAATTCGGTTTGGAAAGAAATTTTTGGTGTAATTTTCCATTCTGTTGATTTTTTAGTCACTGATAAAAGGTGAAACGATGCGTAATTTTTGGCATGTGTCGACATTCTACGGCGAATTTCGAGATTTTCTGGGATATTTCTTTTTTTAATTCTACATATTTTTCAGAAATTTGAGTTTGGGAGTATTCAGAAATTTTCGCCGTTTCTTTCGTGATCTTCCGGCTTTTTTCAAAGACATTTCCGTTTTGTTTTTAAAATATTCAAGGAAATTTCCATAATATCCTTCATCAGTCGTTTTGCGTTTAGTTTATTTTTATTTTTTTGTTCTAAAAGGAAAGAATATCAGTTTGTTTGCACCTGAAGGTACATCTAGCCTACGGAGGCTTCATAGCAAGGTATCAGCCAATTTTTTTGTTGCTCATCTTGTCTGAGTACTCCAATTATTTATTTACTTAGTTTTCAAAGTCTTCACATCCCTTCAGTGTGTTTATTCGAGTAAGAGTTAGAGCAGATTTAATTGCTGGAAAATTTGCGTGCGAAGCAAAATGTCTTCCATTGCAGACCTCTAGTACTCGTACATACATACATATGTATATATATGCATATATTTTATGGTTGTTTCGGGTAGAAACAAATCAAACCTAATTTTATCTTATCAAAAAACGCACTTATTTTGTTGCTAATCGTAAGTTTTGCGAAAACGTGCAACCGATAAAGTTATGCTCAATCATCGATTAGGCGGCGTGGTGTATTATACTCCACTTGCAAAAATTCAACGTAATCAGCAACAATGATGCAATGAAATTAGTATGCACATATTGCTAATTTGCTGCAAGAGTGTGAAAATCGAAAAATAACAATTTTTTTTATTTTACAGAAGCAAAAAACATTATAAAAATGATATCAAAAAAAGGTAGAGCTTTTTAAAAAGTGGCATGTAACTCCGCTGTTTTTGTTACTTACACCTTGAATTTTTTTCATGAAAAGTATTTAAACATAACTATCGTACCCAAAATAGTGAAAACGCAGTTTCGAAAAAAGTGTTGGTTAGGGCCTTTGTGAATTAAGGTAGCGATATGTAAACTGTTTACTATTAGGCAGTTATTCTCGAGTTGTTGGCTTTTTGGATGATGACACTCTTGCAGCAAATGAGCGAATATATACATATTTATTTACATATGTACAAATACATATGTGAAATTTTACTAAAAAATAACACCTCCCGCCATGCAAAACATGAGTAATAGGCAACAATCGTCAATGGCAACAAATTGGCGACTCACCGACTTATTACTGTGGTGACAAATCGGCAACATCATATCTTTCATGTCAACTTTGGAATAAATAAGTCATAAAAAATTCCCAAACTTATAAATTTCGCGTCAACAGTATTATCCAAAATCGCCTAATTTATACCAAGGACAGGATTGAAAGAATAGGAAGCCCCATAGCGAAATAAAGAATTTATTTCGTTTCTAAGTTCCAATTTTGTATGCAAAAGATAAATAATGTAGTTAAAAGAATAAAATTATTCCAAATATCACCTGAAGCGATAAGAAAACGACTCATTCAGGTAATAGGAAAATGAATCGCCCGGCGAGTTGCCTTCGGCGGACGTTTTAGAGCGACTAGTTATGTGAAATCGATACGATGGCAATATTACCGGCAATAAATTTGTTTCCGAGGGCGAGACGTTTTCTTATTGCCGGCAACAAAAATTGTTTGGTGGGCTCTTTCATTTCCGCGCAAACATATTCTGATCGTTCAGAATGTATGAGTCCGAAAGGAGTTCTAGGTAGGTAAGAAATATGAGTTTTAAAAACAAAAAATTGTTTACTCTTATATGAATCTTTTAGGACTCATATATGATCCAAGTGCTGGCTCATACAGCACCCTGTGCCAATATAAAAACAATTCGTCACACTTCGCTTTTGCAGTTCACCTATCATTTGTTGAATATTCACCAAGCGAAGTAGTTTAATTCGAATCATGTTCACACTATCGTATAATTTGTGAAAAACTTTGTGAAATAATTTACACTCGCACATATAAAATCGCAAAACAATTGCCAAATTTTCCGGTGAAAATTTTCACCAAATATTCATGATAAGGCAGAATAAAGATACGAAATTTATATCTAATCTTGTTTATGCAGAAATTGAAAATAATTACAAAACAAAAAATGAACAAAATTTAGCTGCAGCTGCTGCTATTAAATGCATGTTGGAATGCGTATATGCGCGTAAGTATGTATGTGTGTTATTTGGAAGTAATTTTGGCTGAATGCCTTTGCAAATATAGTGCATTCAATAAAACTCAAAGAACAACCTAAAATAAGAGTTCGAATTTAGTAATTTATGAGGCCGATCAGAGCCTCAAAAAAAGAGTCTAAAATGATTCATATTTGAGGCCAAAAATTATTTTAAAACAGTCCAAAATGAGCCGTATATGAGGCCAATAAGAGTTTAATATGATTCATGTTGAGGCTCATTTGAACTATTAATTTAAGCTCATAAAAGTCGACCTTCGGAGGACTCCTTAAATACTCATTTATGACTCCAAATGTTTGCTGGAATTATTAATAAATCTTAATTTTCCCTTAAATATCTCAGCTTATTAGTTTCGTTGAGTAATCACTGCGTTTGAAGTAAGGACTGATAAATAAACTTAGATCAACTTCCGCTTCCCTATCGAATGCGAGCTTATGGAAAATTATTATTCAAAAACTCCGCCCTCCCTTCACCACTCACCACCAGCAGTCTTGGCAATCGTTGTTTTGCTCTGATACGAAGTCTCTATTGGTTGCAGATTAGCCTCCTCAATGCCATCGGTTGCCTCTGGGCTATTGTTCGCGTCTGATGTAATCGCTTGCAAGCTGCATGAAACATCATTTATATTACGATCTGGCGATCTTTAATACGAAGCGTACATTTATCATAATCACACTTCGAAATATATATTCACAATTACACCAACCTAGAGCTGCGTCGGCTGTGATCGGCTATGTAAATATTTTCGCTCAAATCACTCAAAGAGACATGGCGTTCAGGCAGAATGCAAAAATATTTCAAAGCCGCATCAATATTTCCTGCCACACTGCTGTTGTCACTAAACTTATCATTGCTTTTCACTTTAGTGTTGTTGTTGTTGTTGTGGTCACCATTCTGCATTCCGCTCCTGTGTGTGTGCGTTTGCGTTGCCTTGCTGCCCGTGTTCTCCTGCATTGGTGCCACATACTGACGCAATGGGTACCGACGTTGTGTTGCGGTGTGTGTGTCGAATTTATTCACGCCAGTGTATGCTGACTTCGTGGCGAGTAAGCCATGCTGCAGTTGTTGTGGTTTTTGCGGCGGCGCCTGGGTGCGTGCGCCACCTTTGCTGCTCAATTTAGCGACTGTGTCATAGCGTTTGATCATGTCACGCACACTGATTGGCGACGATTGTGATTCTGAGTCTGAGGCGGCGGCAAGCAGAATGTTGAAGGAACTTGATGAGTTGTTGCTTTGAATGTCATCGTCATCGAGACTCACTGAGCGGGCCGGTTGCAATCGATTCGGGTGTGAATTACGCCTTGACGAGTTGGTGAGATCCATCGTTGGGTCGAACAAATAAAAAATTAAAAATTTAATGTATTTTTTCCAATATGAAAAGGAGCAATGCGAAAAAGATTTAGAAAACAAATTTGTTTCCTGGCTGTCAAATATTAAGAATTTATTTTTCTGTTTTTCTCACGCTTTTTCCTTTAAAAAGTGTTTAAAACTTAAAATGACAAAATTTGAGTGAATTCATTTTAGATACTCATTGCATGACTCATTGTTCATCAAGTTAATGAGTAGTTACTGAGTACTTATTAATGTGTGTGTTTTATAGTAGGGAGGCTGTAAGTTTCCTAGTTTTCCAAACCGTCCTGTATGCTCTATTCCAAAATCACATACAAAATAAAGCAAAATATTATTAATATTTACCATAAAAGATTTATTCAAAATTCGTTTAAATAAATAGTCTGAAATTTTAAGAAAGAGCCATTGCTTGGCTTTCATTCGTACGGCAACATTGAAACAGCAATTTTAGGGCCTCAACCAAATAAAGCCCAAACGGTAGATCAATCCTAAGAGAATTTTGTTTCGCCGCATCACATGGCGATCAAGTTGTCACTTTTTGATCACAAATTCAATTATATTGCAGGTGGTGTGAGTGATTAGAAGTGCGCACTACCATTCCGCTGAACCTGTGGGCTCGATCCACATTCTGTCATTATAAACAAAAGAGAATAAAAAGCTTCTCTAATAGCGATGGCCTTCCGGGAGGCAATGGAAATCCTCCGATTGTATTTCTGTTTGAAAAACAGTCTTTCCTTAAAATACAATCGTTGTTCGGAGTCTTTGTAAAACTATGTGTGATAACACAAAGGCGCCCGCCATAAATCCTAGGAGATTTTTGTTATAACTGTATATATAAATTGCTTCAAGGTTAATTCTTGCCTTAAACTGCCTTTACACGAATCGATTTCTGTAGACAGGAAAATCGACTAGCCACAGTATTTAAATTTTACGGCTGAATTGCCATTTACACGATTTTGGTTGCAGTACAAAAATCGACTAGAATATCGAACCGGGCAAAGGCAGCTTTAGGTGACACATAGTCAAACGGAAAGTAACTTTTTTTGTAGAAAATGTTAACCCTTTTACTCCAATCATAATTGGCCTTAGTTTTACGGATTTCCATGTGAGCTCATTAAAAGTAGCAGATGGAAGGTTAAAATGTTCAACAAACACTCGGTCCCGATTCATACGATTTTATTTTTTTTTGTATTCAACCTTCGTCTTCCATGATCTATTCTGAAATATTCCGTCTATTCCTGAATAATTAACCCTTTCACTGGATTTGTGTATTGTATTGGAGCCATCAGAAAACAATTTACACTTACGTTTTGCAGCGTATTTTTTTATTACTTGCTAATATGAAATGAAGCTGCAACAAGAATTAAAACTAAAATTTGTGAGATATTTGTTAAAAAAAAAAGTTTTTTTTTCATTTTCTAGCCTAGAATATTAGTTAGCATTGGCTTTGCTTATCTTAGCCATTACGTTTGTCTCTCCCCGACTCCTTCTTGGACTTACGTATAGTCCTTTAGTAAGCCTTTGTATACCTTTGAGACTAAGTCGTTGTCAGCTGCCTTGGCAAACTTAAAGATTCCCTGAAAATTTGAGCCTTAGGTTAAGTTGAAGTAGTGTATGATTTTCATGGATTATTGAGCTAAATTATTGATCAACTTCAAAACACAATATCTGAAAAGATATCAATGTGAGCGATTTGATGTTGTGGACCTTTTTTGTAGGAAATTGAATTGCCTAAAAGTTTATCATTTACATTTTTTCTTAAGCTGTTGTTATTTACGAGATAGGGCTCACTACTTCGCTGGTGGAAGTAGGGTTACGCCGAAACTTTTATAGAGCATTCCATCCTGAAGAAACCCTATTATTGACCAAGATTATGTCATAAAATGCCCCTGAGCTGTAGACCTCTGAAGAAAAAGTTTACCATTTTTTTTAAACGGGAAATCTAAAATAATATTAATATTACGGACTCAAATTTTCAGGTAATTTTTTGTAGGTATTTCCCACAAAATTTCGATGTGGGAGTGACAAAAATACTGGCGAAAAAAGCATCCTAATATACTTACATATCTCATTTGCTTTCACAAGTTTTGAAATTAGAAGAAATTTTTTTCGCGATCCACCCTGATGTATAGTTATAAATGCTTGTTGTACGAGCGAAAGTCATTGTGGTTCCAATTAATCGATATTAGTAAACGACAAAGTTCACGTTTTTGGTGAATCAGTGCCTACGGCAAACAAACTAAACAAAACCAAATAAAACTTGCAAAATTATATGTACCTTCAGTTCCAAAAGTCACGGCCATAATCTAAATTTTATTAGAGCTGATAACAGATAAGCGTCCTCTATAGATTGGGCGTCGAGTGAGTATAAAAGCCAGTACTATTCGAAATGCAAGTCAGTTAAGTGCATATCTATAATTTAGCACAAACGTAATTCACCCAATAAACAAAAGCAAAAAAATAAAAATTCGAAAAATGACTGAAACTTTGGAGCAGCTCATGGAAAACGTTCCCTCTGTAGAGGTGCAGAAAATGTCTTTCGTCTTAAAATATATATATATATATGTGTATTAATTTTTTGGGTATTTAAAGGTCGTCTATTCCTCGGGCGTTAAGGTGGAACGCGGTAATGAGCTCACCCCCACCCAGGTTAAAGATAAGCCCACCACTGTCAGCTGGCCCGCAGAAGATGGTGCCTTCTACACGCTGCTTTTCCTCTGTCCCGATGCCCCCTCAAGAACAGACCGCAGATGCGCCGATACATGGCACTGGCTGGTGGTGAATATACCTGGCAGCAATATTGCTGAGGGTCACACTGTTGCCGATTATATTGGCGCAGCACCAGGCGATGGCGCAGGATTCAACCGTTACATCTATGCAGTCTTCAAGCAACAAGGAAAAGCCGAAGACGATCAGCTTCAGTCAGATATGTAAGTAAAATAAGCCTTTTTACTGCATAGATTTTATGTAAATATGTATCTATAAAAATGTTGGTAATTTTTACAATTACTTATTTCCCATTTCAGGCCCTTGGAGAAGCGCGCGAAGCGAAACACCAAAGAAATCGTGGAAAAATACAATTTAGGGAAGCCTATTGCTATCAGCTATTTTGAAGCGAAATTTGATGACTACGTTCCCGAATTATTGGCGCGGCTACCAAAATTGGAATAAATGGGGTCGCTGGAAAAAAAAACTTTTTAATTTCAACAAAAACTTAACTTTTTATTTTTTTAAATTTTTTTAAATTAAATACCAGTTTTTGGTAACTAATTACTCCTAGTTTGAAAGTTTACTTTAAAATGATTTTAGAACTTAATAAATATATATATACCTTTTTGTCTTAATTTCTACTCCTCTAAATTCAATTTTAATTTACTATGTGTTAGCCAATCTATATGTTAGCCAATGGGTGTGAGTATTCACACACGTCTGGGCCGTTTTTTTATTTTTGGCAAGCGAAATAATTGCTGAAACATAAACAAATTAACGCTAAGCCCTGCTGGTACCGGACGTCGACACATTGTATTAATTGTTGGACTTAGTTAGAAACTTCTAAAGCAGGGATCATACGATTTCTACATTTGTACATTTGGCAGTCACAGGGTGGTGTTGTCTAGAAATTTCTATCGGGAATGAATTCAGCTTAATAGCAACTTTCCAGACAACAATTGTGGAAATGTACAAAACTGTACATATTTACAAATCGTGTGATCCCTGCCTAAGATCAACTCACAATCAGGTTTTGCAATTCGTCTTTCGAATAACAGAATACAAAATTGTTTTATGAAAAATGTGTGCCTTAGGAAAAACAGGATAGAATAACCCTTGTCTCCTTTTTAAACAAAGGTACTTAAATTTTTCGTTTAGCACACAATGATGAGTTACTCACTGCGTCCTTGTCATTTAATGAGGCTTTAAATATTAAATATTTTACATTTGCAAGTTATGTACTACAAACAAAACGCACGACTCACCTAAGCGCTTAACAAGATGTGGAAAAAAATTTCAAATATTTACACTAATATGTGTTACAAATTTAAATTATCCATGTCAAGCAGCGCGCATGTTTTTTTGCCGGATTGTTGCTGCCCTTTACTAGTTGCATAAGCACATATAGACATTAGACCGTACCAAAAAAAAAAAAAAAGTTCGCCATAATACACCTCTGAGTCGGAAGTATTTTTGAAAGGCAATTTTGAAATTTGTTTTTTTTTTGCCGAAGGTAACGTTTGCTTTTTTACATTTTCATTTTATATAGTATGATATATTGGTGTGTCTTGAGGCGACACTTTTTTGCTCTGGAATTCTCATTGACCTCAAGCACCCCATTCTAGCACTTATCCTCCAGATCTCACTTCTTTCACCCCAACGTACCACCCTAATTTAAAAGTCGCTCAACTCGAAGGCAATTACGATTTAATTTCTTTTTTGGCCGAGCGGTCTAATGTACATATATACATACATACATATGTAATAAGTGTTGCTACCTCATCAATTGAAGGTAATATTGTAATATGCGAAGCATCCAAATGAGTACTTAGCTATGTACGTAAAGCAGTGGGCAACGCATTAGATACAAAATGAGTATCTCAAAGATGTGCACGCTTGTCCAACTGTGAATTTGTTTCAAAGCTACTTAAATAATATGCATGACCACATAATCGCACAAACATGTACGATTTTTAATGCAAAAAGGAATCACAAAAATCGAATTCATTAAAATTGGCTTGCGTGCGACTGCCACCGCAGAAACTCATCAACGGAATGACTTGCGGTCGGCAGGATTTTCTAAGCAAACCGAGTATTGTATTTGCGATATACTTAGTACTTATAACGAAGTTATAAATAATAACTGTTTGTTATAGCTTTGATGCTACTGTAGGCACGAACTTGAATAAGTGATTATATATATGCACAATACATATACATATACTATACATATATGTACATACATCTATACTAAGTAGCATATGTTGCAGTAATTGCTGTGTCATACATTGCCACACTTCAATTATTCTCAATCAGCCGCAGGCAATTTACAAGCAGTTAAGAATCGCAATGGAAG